ACCTTTTTAATTTGTATATTTGTAGTCAAAAATAGAAATAGTAATACAACTAACAAAAATATAATACAGAAAGGGAAAAAAAAGTTGAGATACATACACACTGTGTGTGTGTGTGTGTGTGTGTGTGTAGGTGTATACCGTGTTTCCCTGAAAATAAGACTCTTGTCTTACATTTTTTTTGCCACCAAAAAAGGCACCAGGTCTTATTTTTGGGGGGAGGCGGGATGTCACTTGTGTGTGTCACCCCCGGCCTCTTTTTTGCTATTGAAGGTATTCAGGAACTTCTTCCCCAGCAAGACTTTCCTGAAGGCCTCTGTAGCCGATAACAGAGCTCCGGATCAAACCAAAGTTCTGTATCAGCTAGAGGCCTTCAGGAAAGCTTGACAGCAGAAGAAATGGGCTGAGGTATGAGAGGCCTGGCTGCAATTGTCCAAAGGTAAGTAGTAGGGCAGCTTCCCCACCATCCCCATCCTAGCTTAATTTTTACGTGTGCACCCTAGAGTGGGCAGAGTCTTAATTAGGGCTTTGGGGGTAGGGCTTATATTGAGTGCACATGTAAAAATCAAGCTAGGACTTATTTCTGAGTACGTTGTATTTTCGGGAAAACTATGTGTACATGTGGGTGTGTATGTATATTATAGTACACATACACAGTAAATGTATATACAGTATATATGTGTTTGTGTGCGGGTGTGTTTATACATATATATAGATAGATAGATAGATAGATAGAGAGAGAGAGAGAGAGAGAGAGAGAGAGAGAGAAAATGGATGGATGCAGTTACAGTGGCAATGAGAGCATAGTTGGAACAACTAAACAGGTTACAGCAGATATAGTATAGTATACACTACCACTTAACATCACAATGACATTATATGGAAAATGCAGTAATCAATTTAAATGACAATTTTTTAAAAAGAATCAACATCTAAATGTACTTAATCACTTGTGCTTCCTCATTCCTTTTGTTTTATGCCTATTGGATTGCAACATTGCAAAGCATCTAAATATTTTGATCCTTGATTAAAATAAAGTATACCTTTCAGTTGTCCTACAACATTGTTCAGATAATTTTTAAGTTCAGAGTCTGCAGTAACAAGCATGGTAAGCCCATATTTTTGAACACGTGTAAATGTTTCAGCAGGATATATTCCACGTTGATATAAGATACTGTTGATACCATACGCTGAAAGAAGAAAATATATAGTACTGTATCCGATTATCTAAAAAGCAGTATCATAATAGAATAGCACTTAGACATATACTGCTTCACAGTGCTTTACAGCCCTCTCTAAGCAGTTTACAGAGTCATCATATTGCCCACAAACAATCTGGGTCATTTTACCGACTTTGGAAGGATGGAAGGCTGAGTCAACCTTGAGCTGGTCAGGATCAAACTGGCAGTGGACTGCGCCACCATGGCTCTTTGTCATGTGTTGTTATAATTATACTAATTAATATTAGCAAACACAAAGATATACAGGCTGAAAAAGCTATTTATCATGGCATTTGAGATCTTATGTTTATTGCTCATGGCCATCGTGTTATGTTGTTTTAATATTTATTTTGTCTTGTTATCTAAGCCTTCCGCAATTGGCAACAAAATAATACTGTTTATTATGTATGGCATAGGGGCTGGATATCTGAGAGATCACTTATCTCAACAATTGTTTCTGCCTGTCCAGTATGATCCCAGAATAGTGGGAGTTCTCTAGGTCCTTAATATTAAATGTTGCCATCTTGTAGGACTTAGAAATCGTGCCTTCTGTTGCAGCCTCTACCTTATGGAATAACATCCACAAAGATAAGAAAGTTTCCAGAGTTCCAGGTGGCTTCACATCTAAGATGGACTAGAACTCATAGTTTCCTGCTTTCTAGACTGGTGCCTTAACCACTGCACCAGGTATATGATTGCTTTGAATATACAGGTAGTCCTTGACTTCCAACAGTTCATTTAGTGACCATTTGAAGTTACAACACTGAAAAAGTGACGAATGGTTTTCAAACTAACAACCATTGCCGCATTCCTGTAGTCACATGATCAAAATTCCAATGTTTGCTAACTGAGTCATATTTGATGGTTCCAGCATACCAAGGTCATGTGATCACCTTTTCTGACAAGCAAAGTCAATGGAGAAGCCAGATTCACTTGACAATTGTTATTAAATTACCAACAACAGTGATTCACTTAACAAATGTAGCAAGAAAGGTCATAAAATGGGGCAAAACTCACTTCACTGTCTCACTTAGTAACAGAAATTTTGGGCTCAATTGTGGTCATAAATCAAGGATTACCTGTCTCAAGGTATATTACCGGTACATAAAATTTCAGATTCTGTATATTGCACCAAATCCTAGGACTTTCTTTCTCATCATATCCAATAATCAATTACTGTATTCGGAAGAAACCTTAGAACTCTTAGAACCTAAGTTAGAACTCAAAGGCAGCCAAAGATGCAGACCCCAGAATTGAGTCTCCCAAACCTCCATTAGATCTGCTCTTCATATTCATTTTAAATTAAGCATTTCTTCCCTACTGAGGCTGAAGTTACTGTCCCTACAATGATCACCCATGTTTGAAAATAAACGTATACATGATTAGGTAATTAACTTCCTTCAAACTGCTTTAGGTCCTCTAGAGGTTCCTTCCTTCCCTTCCCTTCCGCACTGTATTGCAAATTTAAGTTCTTAGCATTTTGTGCTTATTGCCAAGACGGACGCTTGTCTACTACAAGGATAACTCGCGGCAATGGAAGGAGAACGAAGGAAAAGATAGAGGAGGAAAAGAACGGACCGAGTGCAGCACTCTCGCAATGAGCCCCCACTTCATTGCCCCAAAACGCAACTCGGAGTCCTTTTCTCCCCCGAGCCCATCTATTCGGGTGGGCACAAATTCCACCGGGCACAAAAGGACTTGTGGTCGAGCACCATCCCTGGGCATAAGCCTCATAAAGCAGAAAGAGAGCCGGAAGGATGTGGGTCGCTGTCTTCCGACCGAGCTGACTCACATTCTTAAACCAGCATTATCTCCCTACCCGCCCGGTTACTCACAGAAAAACTCCGCCACAGTCTCGGCGCTGCCCCGCAAGGTGATGCCCTGCTCCCGGCTTTGCTGTTTCGCCATCGGCGTCCGAAACAGTGAAACAGAACTGGGCTGAAACTGAAACGGAAAAAACCCAAGCCTTTCTTTACGCTACAGGCCCAGATAGGAAACGACGGACGTCCCGCCACCTGTTTGAAATATAGCTCCGCCTCCCTCACTTCTCGCGGGAGTACAAGGCGATTCACGCTACTGCGACCGAGCAGCCGGTGGCGTCTGCGCTCCTTTTTAACGTGTCAAGCAAAGGAGGTTTCCACGTCTGGTTTCTTTTATAGGAGTTAATGCGCAAGCGCGAACATTTGGCGGGCAGAATGGATTGAGCTCAGCTGTGTTATCCTTTCGGGCGGGGAGGGTTTGTTCGTTCCTATTTTGTTTTGTCTGATGTTAACTTTCTCTTGTTAATTAGTGATTTGAGAGATTGAGAAAAGGATCTGCGTCTTTGCCAAGTGGTGTTTTTGCTTAATCATTGAATTATCACAGGTTTTACTAGAAGCCCCCCAATTAATAGTTTTAAATAATATTTACAGATTAGTTTAGGTTTGCTTTTCAATGTAGTTAGCACTTCAAATGCTTATTTTTCCATAATTTTCTGCTTTGTTTTTTTTTTAAAGAAACTGCTTTTTGTAATAACTTGATTTATTTGGGATCCTTATTTTAGGATGTTCGTCATGAAGGTAGGGTTTTGTTTCTAGTGGACATTTCTAAAGTCTAGCATGAGAAAAGTGGAAATTTATTCAACTCAGATTTTGTTATAGAGAATTGCAATGCCTTCATTAGTAATGTCAATGAGTCTCCAGAGTTTTAGGTAGCTGCCATTCTCACCTCTATTTTGAAAGGACAGGAATTAGAAATGTATACTTTATTTTCATCCACAAAGCACTCTTCCAAACTACAACACTAGCAAAAGTTAAAGTCTACTGAAATGTATTTAGGACTGATACTGACTTGAAATAAATAAGCAGATGTAATAAATAATCTAATTCTTTGTTTCCCAAATTTAACTTGTTAGCTACGGTACCAATGTGTTATCTGATTAATAAATGTTGGATTCCCTTGGTTGAAAACACACTTACAGTTATGTGTTATTATCTCTTCACTATGATATTTAAAGTTTCAATGAATGTTTATTATTGTTATGTTTTTTTAATCGCTCCAATATCTGAAAAGGGTGAATCAGTGAAATTCTATAGTTTGGAGAGACTCGACATAATAGATATAGTGACTACTATAATCTGGGTATTGTAGTTCTAATAAATCTGGAAAGAACTTGGGGAAGGACAATAGAGTTGTTAACTATAGCAGCTACTTCCTATTATAATAAATTTAGATTTTTGTTTCCCTCACAAAGTCCAGACAAATACCTTTCAGTATACAAAAAAGATGTATTGCTTAGCAAGAGATTTGTGGGAGTGTGGTAGCTTTGCACATGAATTATCACAAGATGGCAGTACTAACCTAGAAAATGTTTCTGAGATTTCACTTCTTTATGAAAAACTTTGAACAAAAGTTAAGGGAAAACTCTTGAATTTAAGGTTTCAAAATAGACCTCAAAGGTATAAACTCCCTCAAATGTTGATACAAGCTGCAAAGTAAATATTTTCAAGGAAAAGGTGTCACTTTATTTTCTTGGAAATAAAATAGTTTGTCCATTTGACTTTACTCCTGAAATAAGTCTATGGTAGCAGTGTTGTTAGTTGCAAAGACTGCAATCTGAAACTTGATTTGAACAGCATCGTATTTTATATACAGGGTTTTTTTTTCTTGTAAACCTAATCCTTTATTTTAAGTGCATTGATAAAAAATTAAGATCTTGCTTGGCTTTTAAGGGAGAAGAAATCCAGAAACTTGAAATATTTGGATACAAGGGGTTTTGAATGTGTCTCTGATCTTTACATTTCATAATATTGAAAGGGTTGTAGATACAACTGTTCATCTGTTAATTTATGATACGTTGAAAACAATCTTAACAAAAAAGCATAAAAGTATGAATTTCCCAGTCACCCATCCATCAGATAATGGCCTGATTTTCATTAGATATATCAGTTCTGAATTTGCATCTTTGATAACCAATCTACCATGAGTATGGGAACGAATTCTTAATAGGTGCGTTTGCAAATGATGGACAGTTCTGCTTAATGTCAAAGAGGTTGATTCAACAATAGCAAATGCTCAAGGCATCTAAGAAAAATGTAAGAAACAAAATCTAAACATTTTGTTTCAAAGACTACAAGCTTTAGTGACTTGTTTTATATTTATTTTCATTCAATTGTATTCCTTTTCTCTGAAATATGTTGGTTTTTTTTTTATGTTTTAATTGCATGCATCCCAGAGTCATTGTGAAGGTTGGTGGCCTTAAAATTTAAATAAGTAAATTCTTAATACTTTATCATTACTTTATTCCAGCATTTATTTCAACTTCCTATGGAGGTCCACACCTTGAATACCTATGACTATTTTATGTTTCACTTTTTCCATCTTTCCTATATGTCCATTCTCATGCAGGCCAAGAGAGCTAGATATGGCAATTTCATTAATGATCCCCTCACAGAAACTTCATTTAGAAGTTTTGACATAGCATATGTTTGTAATTTTTGAAGAATGCATCTCACACATTTCTTAAAAATAAAACTACGAGCAAAGATATTCATTCAACAGTGCAATATTATCTTAAAAATCTCTGTTCTACCATACATTCTAGAAAGCTGAAATTGCGTTAATCACTATAAATAGAATTCTGACATGCTTTTAAAGACATTTAAATAAGACTTTATCTTGAATATAAAAAAGAACATCTGTCTAATGGTCCAATTTGATTCACGATACACCACGTCATCTGCATCCTTGCAAACATTACTTTCCACAAGTATAAGAAATTCTTGCAATTGTGATCTAGTGTAAGTGATAATCAACTCTGACTTACAAAAGCAAAGCAAAACACTTCCATTACAAGTACAACTTGTTAAAGATGAGAAGTTTTGTGTGAAATATTACACGAATCCAATGCTCCCTGAACTCACCGAGAAGATTTGGCACCCAAATTAATTGTGATTAGCAATGTTTTGTGTATTTTCCTGTCTGAAATTTAAGCACAAATAGTCAAATTCAGTCAACTAGAAGAGTTTTCAAAGTTTAGAGAAACACACCTTAAAGTAAAGCTAAAGGTTCCCCTCGCACATATATGCTACTTGTTCCTGACTCTACGGAGCGGTGGTCATCTCTGTTTCTAAGCTGATGAGCCAGCTCTGTCTGATGACAATTCCGTAGTCATGTGGCCGGCATGGAAGGCTGTTACCTTCCCACCAAGGTGGTCCCTATTTTTCTACTTGCATTTTGACATGCTTTCAAACTGCTAAGTTGGCAGAAGCTGGGGCAAGTAATGGGAACTCACTCCAGTATGCGGCGCTAGGGATTTGAACTGCCAACCTTTCTGATCAACAAGCTCAGCATCTTAGCCATTGAGCCACCGCGTACCCCACCTTAAATTAGACTCACTTTTAAAAAATAGAAAAATAATGTTAAATATACAAAAAGTAAAAAAAATTCTCTTGTCATTTTTCCGTTTCAAAATCCCTTCAATTCTTTTTTTTAATGAAGATTTTTAGAATATGACTATTATAATAAAGGCAACTTTTATTTCTAGTTGTCTAAAACTGAACATTCAAAAGCAACTTTGTATGAAAATTGATGACGTATATATATGATTGATATATGCCTTATAAAGTGAGTGAGGATTTCTAAAACTAAGTTCAACTAAAGGCATAACTCCTTTTGCAGGAGCAAAAAGTAGGATATTCTAGTTTTTAAAATGATTCTTTTCACACTGGGAATAGGTATCTGCATTAAAATAAACATGTCTGAATTATATCTGCATTGAATTAACACCTTTTTGCAGTGACAATGTTATGGTGAAATATTCTTTGTTCTCAAGAAATTGAAACATCTATTCTGTGGGCATTTATTTGCACATCCCAAAGTGTTGCTAGTCATGTTAGATACCATTTTCATTAGCGTGAATGCTGATCTTGTTACAGCTAATTAAAGACCACGTTTACAGCATTTAAAACAGTGCTTTATTGTTGCATTTAAGGAAAACTGCATAAATTTAAAGTTAATTCTTTAATTCACTTTAAGCAAATCTTAAAATGTGCAGGTTAAACTCAGAAAGCATTATCTATTGCATACTACCAAATAATGTGAGTAAACAATGAAGGAATATAATGTATCTCATTTGAGATTACAGCTAGTAAGAATGTACCTGGATTGTCCAACTCAGATTTTTAAAGCAATTATTTTCCTCTGTATAGGAATGTACAGGACAGTGATTTTAAATAACTTGTCAGAGTCATTCAAGTTGCAGCCATTGCAAAGTTGACACTCATTGGTGGTATGTGCCTGGTCCTTAATTTAAATATTTTAGTCCAAACTCAACAGCTCCTTTTTTTTTTAGTCTCTTTATTAAATTTTATATCTTACATTTCTTGTACTATGTCTTCATTGACAATGGCATGTTTAATTTAGCCACATTTCTGTGCTGAGAATCACCCACCACCAGAGTGAGTGACAACAGATGTTTGACAACAAGGAAACAATCTGACCCTCATATCCATTTTCAGATTACTAACTTTAATAGAACAAGATACATCAATGTATTCTGCTGGATGCGTGGAAACAAAGTATGTTTCCATACATGGCCATCATGAAATACTGGCCTACTCCTCAGTGAACAAATTGAGTATGGACATTAAAAACCTCTAGAAAATGAAGTACCAGTAATCTTGCTAGTTTGTAAAGATTATTAGGAAATAGAGTGGTCACACACAAACTGTATTTTTACACCACAAGTGTCAAACTCGATTGCATCACGTGATGTATTGTGACATTGTGAGTTTTTTTGCGTTTATGGAGCTGGGGTGGGTGTGGCCTGCGCATGACGCATCCAGCTTATGGGCCGCCAGTTTGACAGGCCTTCCCTACACTGTCTCACCAACCCAAATGCCAGAACTCAAAATGGTTACAACACTCAAATGGATCATCTTTGTCAGCAAGATAGCATTTCTATAGATCATAGGAATTCCATCTTGTCAAGCTACAATTTCTTTCATCATAGAGTAGGTTAGCAAGCAGATTGCAATCTCCCGTGCAGGTTATTATCAAAATATTAATTTCCATGGATGAAAATTAGTTACATTTTATGTATCATGAATTTTTATTTATTTATTTATTGGTTCGATTTATATGCCGCCCTTCTCCAGAGACTCAGGGTGGCTTACAATGTGTTAAGCAATAGCCTTCATACTTTTGTATTTACCTGCTTAGTTGGGCTTTCCCCCCCCCCCCCAAAGCAGTGTTCTTTTTTATACAAAGTCATCTTATTACCCCCACAATCTGGGTCCTCATTTTACCTACCTCAGAAGGATGGAAGGCTGAGTCAACCTTGAGCCTGGTGAGATTTAAACTCGCAGTAATTGCAGGCAGCTGGCAGCTAAGTGCTACTTAACAGCACTTTAGTTCGCTGCACCACCAAGGCTTTTTCATCAATGGAAATCAATATTTCCAAATTATAAGCTATTGGAACCTTTAAGCCATGCTAAAAACAGAGGATCATGGATGTTAATTCACCATAACTTGTAGCTAACGTGTGGTTTCTCATTCTTGAATATAAATAAAAAAGTATTCTATAACTGAAATGTAAGATAACATTGCTAATTTGTAATGTGCTACAGACAGAAATTGCTTATTTTTGTTTACTTTTAGGCCTTTTAAAACCAATATGAGATCAGCACTATTTATTGGCACTTTACCCTGCTAACAATCCAATTCTTGGTTATAAACAATTAGCAGCTGATTTTCCCCCTAGATCTTTTCTAGATCATTGTGAGCCTGGAAAACATTGCTAATCAAAGTGACTAATTGACTCCTATTCGTAGAGATTCTAGTCATTTTTGTAATATTTAACAAAATAGAAATTCATTAAATTTAGTGTCTTGTTTTGGAAAGCATCACAAATGCTTTCAATGTATGCTGTAATTGTTGAGACAAGAAAGCCTTGCTTTGTAATTACCAGTTGTCATTGTTTCTAAATTAAAACCAAAGTATTTGGGAATAAAGCTCTATCAAATAATTATTTAGACATGAGAATATGATTAAAAATAATAATATTGATTATGTCATGAAGAAGAGGTAGATTGTACCAAGACACTGGAACAGAAGCAAAAACATGTACTATCTATTTGATACAGGCAGTTGCTATAACACCCTCTAACACTAAAGTTGCTTTTGCTCTAATATTTTGGAATACAATTATGAACTGATAGAAAAAAAGCTTTTTTAAAAAAATTCACTTAAGTAGTTAAAAAGGAACTTGTATGAAATGCTTTGCTAGTCCTCTTTAGGAATAAAATAGTTATTTATTTATTTACGAGTGTTCATTTTTTGACATGGAAAGGTAACCTTATCTTTTGATCAAAATCAATTTTATGGAAATAGATGAAAAAATATGGAAAAATATAGAATGGTTACTGAAAGATACAAAATGATGCATAGTAAAATCATTGTCTTGATATAGCTGATTATCATGTATGTCACTGCAGGACTCCAAGTTATTCACTGAATAAATTAATCCTCTTTAATGGGATCCCCATACATTGTCTTTATTCTAAGGCTTAGTCAAGTTTGAGAACTGGGAAAGAATCTGTAAAGGAACATATTCTTTATTCCCTCATCTCCTATGCAGAAATGGGCTTTTGATCAGGACTAATAAAGTGTTATGCCCCTATGAATTATTGATTATGTCCTGTGGTGCCTTTTAGTCATCTAAAGGCACTAATGTGAAGATTACCTCATCAAGTCTGAAATGGTGCATTGTCTATTCCACACGGCCTCATCTAATTCTTATTGTTTACATGCTTTTGGATATTTAGTAGAAATTGTGTGTGTGTGTGTGTGTGTGTGTGTGTGTGTGTGTGTATGCTTTTGCAACTAATAATTCATGTATTTCTGTCATATCCAGGTCCCAACTGCTTTTTATTTAGAATAAAACGTCCAGTGGATAGGCCTTTGAGTCTGTTTTCTCATAAAATACTCTTAGATCCCTTTCATGTATTTGCTTCCAAACATAGACCTTGCTAATAAATTAGCTGAATGTTGACCTTTGCTAGACCTTCCTCTTTGATTTATAAGAATTGCAATATTTCTATTCCCAAGAGTAAACGTTTTGTTTTGTGTCTGTTTTTAAATCTTTAAATACCCTTACTTGGTTTTGGCTGAAGAATCTTGTTTTCCCTAATGGAAGAAACAAGCCTGGAGTGTTATGCTTCTTTTCATGTGTTTACTTTGTCTAAACTGAGAAATTTTTCACTGCAAGTGCATTTAGAAAGTTTAGCAAAAAAACCCATCTGTTTTGGCATGGAACCTATTTCAATACATATGGCTCATCTCCATTACTGTTGATTATTCCCAGTAGTATAGCTCATTTTTTCTCATCAGTCTTATTTTAATACTTCATTTTGAAAATAAATTAAAATTTTAAAATAAGCTGTTTTACATAAAGTTATAACATTGATCATTCTGTTCAATAAGGTTTACTGTACTTTTAATAGCATCCTAACATCACAATACAGCAAAGTTGTGCTCTTACAGAGAGAGTCTACTACTTTATGTATGCAATATGAAATGAACATTTTAGAAATTCAGTATTAAAGCCTATTTGTGGAAGGGATGTTTATTTGGAGGAATAGGTTTGCGTAGAAACCCTTTTTAAGTTTAGTCTTTGTGATCTTCAGAAAAATGTGAAAAAGAATCCTGTCAGAAATTTAAAAGTCTATTAAAAATCTTAAACCTGATTTGTTGTCTAGTTTTATTTATGCAGTAAGGTGTCCAGAATAAAAGTGAGCAAATATTGTTAATTTTTTCCTTATCCTAACAGCAATGACTACTATATTACCAAAAAAGTGAACAGATGTAGGAACTCTTGCCTCCACAACAAGTACATGCGTTTACCTAGAAAATCTGGGAAGAAATAGTGTTTTCCTGCCCTATACTGTATGCCTATTTATAAGAATCTCATTTGAAAGCAGAGTATTCTTGTGTTTAAGTTGAACCTTCCTTTTCATAAATATTAAAACTGAACTCTTAGAATAGCTGTTTAGATTAGCTGACCAATACTATCTTCAAATTCAAAAGTTAATAAACAAATATTCAGTATTTAAATCAGAGGTCACAACCCTTTTTCTAAAGACTATGTCCTCTAAAGCTGCCTGATAAATAGAGCATAGGCCTTGTTTCTTGGAAATTTCTTTGATTTCTTCTTCTGTCTTCTAACCACATTCTTTGAATAATAGCTTCTCCCCGACATACAGTATTTTTGGAGCACAATGTGGAAAAGTGGACATTATGAGAACAGTCACTATTTTTTTGGACCCATGGACTCATCCCTTACAGTTGCCTATTTTTGGAATTAATCATTAGTTCAATTTCTATGTACTGAATTATACAGTGCTTTGACACTGATTTCTGCTATAATATATTTGAATAATTCATTATATATGAAGTTTTATTATATTATCATGTTTTCCTTTAAAGCTGGTTTTATTTGATTGTCATCACGTCTCACTTGCATCTTCTGATCTTAAATTACAGCCTTTTTAAAAATCTATAAAAGAATGTTGATTTGTGTGAATCTTGATTTAAAAATCATCTAACTGGTCTTTTACATTTCCCATAAGATTTAAATTTTACCAGAGCCCTATAGAACACAGTCCTGGAATTTGCATATTCTTTGCAGTTTTTTTGTTTAGTTCTGAATAGGACTGTCATGTGCAAAAAACAAAATTTACACGTCAGTCACTTTTTTGCCCCAAACACACAATGTAATTCTGCAGTTATTAATACTTATGCCTTTCTCTGAAACATTGTGTAACAGGCATTAGATGCATAATATAGGTACAAGTATATTTATTGTACTGTGCCTGGATATATTTGGAGTTAATATATGAGATTAATGGGAATGCCACTGTTAAGTGATTCAGTCATAAAATGTGATGTCATATGATCACACCACTTAGCAACGCAATCCAGGCAGTCTTAGTTGTAGTGACCCAAGACAAGTTGTTAAGCAGGAAGCAATGGGGAAGGAGTGCAGGGGTGAATGGGCCTGATTCAAGGCATGCATGAGCTGGGAGCACTGTAGTTCAGCAAGAGCGGCACGACTGCAGAAAGGCCAGGGAATGGGTGCGGGGTGCAGAGGAGGGTAAAAAGGCACAGCAAGGAGAGCACTGATGGGTGTACGCATATGTGTGAAGAAAGACAGGTGCAGGTAAGGAGGGCATGGGGTACCCATGAATGCAGGAAGGCATGAGAAAGAAAACACGGTGACAGCAGTCTTACAAAAGGCCTAGCAGAGTCAGCAGCTGCCTCACATAGGGCCAGGCAGGGCACCCGTCAGGAGCAGCAGGAGGAAAATGCAAAAGTTAGTTGGGCAGGGAATCTGGGTTTTTGTGCTATGGCACTGAGGTAGCTGGCTGTGGCACAGTGATTGAAGCAGCATTCTTCAGCAATGACAGTGCTAGGATAAAGTAGAGGACTAGACTAGGTGGTCGGCTGGCTGAGACTGCTGAAGGCCCTGAGCTCACCCTAACCCTATAAGGGCAAAAATGGAGAGAAGACAGGCAAGTGGGAGGAGCTGAAGCAGTGGTGAAATCCAAATTTTTTCCCTACCAGTTCTGTGAGCGTGGCTTGGTGGGCGTGGCAGGGGAATGATACTGCAAAATCTCCATTCCCACCCCACTCCAGGGGAAGGATACTGCAAAATCCCCATTTCCTCCCCATTCCTGGGGTAAGAATATTGCAAAATCTCCATTCCCACCCCACTCGGGCCTTTGCCAGTTCTCTAAACTACTCAAAATTTCTGCTACCTTTTCTTCAGAACCTGTCAGAACCTGCTGGATTTCACCCCTGAGCTGAAGCATCCTGTGGTTATAATTCAGGTGGGCTTTGAAACAGCCGAATTTTGATGATAGGGACTCTTCAACAGACATTGTTTTGGGGCTGGGTATAAGTACCATTTGTTCAGTGCTGCTATAACTTTGAAACAAATGGCTGTAACTCAAGGACTGCCTCTATAAGTAATCCATGAATAACTTTTCCATGAATATTGTACACTAACAAAATAAAAATTAAACTGAAATAATAATTAGTGGAAGCCTGGAAGTAGAAAAATAAATTTGGAAATGCAAATATTTTCCATGTCCATAAATAGTTGTTTTGATAATGGCCTCAGTCTTAATACTTTTTCTTTCAAACCTGTGTTTCTGAAAGTGTAGTCCCAATATCCCTGGCATGCGTTTCCCTAAGACCCTCACAGGGGTCTGTGAAATCCAAATAATTTGCCAGCCTATGTTGAAAAATAACATAATATTAAAAACGCATCAAACAATCATGCGAAGCGGCAGCAGTGAATGCCTCAATTTTAATTTTTAATATTAGAAATATTGATAAATATAACCCACTCAAACAAAAGCTGTTTTGAAATCCTCCATCATTTTTAAAAGAGGAAAGGAGACCTGAGAGAAAAAAGTTTAAGAAAACATTTTGTTTTAAATTGTTCAACTTCCCCTTTTCAGTTTTTCTCACAATCAATGCTGAGGTAAGATAGCAAGGTTTCCATTATTAAAGAATCTGCCCTTTATTTGTTTAAAACATTTTTATAGTTGCCCATCTTATAACAAACTCCCAGTAGGCTTTTTGGCGTAAGTGGTTCATGCTATTAACTATGTCCTGTTACTCTGTATGTTTGTGTGTCTATGTGTTTACTAGTTTTCTCATTCACCCTCTGTTCAATTTTGCCACTAGGGAAGACTGTAAATGCAGCTTATGGAAGTAAGAGACGAATCCAGACATTGAGAGATTTGCTTCAGGGGAGGACTCGCTTTCCAGGACTGTTCAGAAGGACTCTCCAGGTCTGCACCAACAAGCAGAGCAGCAATGCAGTAGCTGGCCTATCCTTTTTGTGTGTGTGTTGTTTGTTATTCTGTTGTTGTTTCTGATTTGTATTCTATGGCTGACTATTTCAATTAAACATAAACATTGTTTTCTGAGTGATTTGGACTAAGGCAGTCTACAAATTTAATTTTAAAAATACCTTGTAATGGCAGAATCCAACAATGATGATAAGAATAATGTCAGTAACAATTTAATAATATGACTTCCCAAAAGTTATAATAGTTTCAGAAGGAGATATAATTGCACTGGTGAGACTATCACTCCACTGATTAGGCATATTCAAGGCCAAGTATAGTATTTAGCTATCTTGAAAGAAACAGCTGTTGTGAATTTGAAACCAGCTGTTTAATTCATATGTGTCCAAACAGATTTGATTGTTAATTTATTATCTCAAATATTATATCTCTAAGTCTGGGACAAAATTTTTGGATACTGTAAGTATGTTATTTAAAAAGGACAATGCCTTTGAAGAAGTTCTGTCACGAAAATATTTCAACCAAACTAGGAAGGCAAATGGTTGGGTGCTGTTTGCATGGACATTTGAAATATTTATAGGAGGGCTTATGAGGACTCCTTAGCTACTGTGCGATTATATTTTTATGGAATAAAATTATGGCAATTTTGTAATAACATTTTAATTATGAAATGTTTTTTAATGTAAAGAAAGTCTGCAAACCTTTATACACCTACATAACAGTAAGTTTAGCAGATCATAATCAGCTGGCATAGAAAATTTATGTCTGTGCAAAGAAATATGTATTTAATAATAAAATGAATTGAGAATGAAGGATGTTATAAAAATACATTATCACTCTGAGATCATATGGAAAACATACTTCTGGAACAGACTGATATTTTTATATATCTCTCTATCCGTCCGTCCATCCATCCATCCATCCATCCATCCATCCATCTCTATCTATGTGTGTGTGTGTGTGTGTGTGTGTGTATAATTTTATATCAGATTTCAGATTTTAGGAATTATTACTAGACCAGTTTTTCTGAATTTTCTGACACGGAGATAAAGCTCCTTCAAACAAGCAAATTTATCCTTAAAAATATTGGGCAAAGTAGCTTCTCATGAATCCTCATGCATATTTGGAATGCATTTTTAATAAATTTTAATACTGCTTAATATTTTAATTTTGTTGAAAGAAACACTAGTCTGTCTGTAATCTGTCTGTCTGTCTGTCTATCTATCTATCTATCTATCTATCTATCTATCTATCTATCTATCTATCTATTTCATTTATCACTGAACATTTCCCAAGGGGAAAAATGTTTTATTATTCTTCAATATTTTCCATAATTAGCTACAAATAGAATGAAGAATTATGGAGAGATCATTCTTCCTTACCCAAATAGTAATTATTGAAAAATATAAGTACAATATTTGTCACCAATCACTAATTCCTTTTAAGTAACAAATCAACTTATTTACACTTGACCTCTATCAAACTCATGAAAATTCATAGTGGACTTTCATAGTTTTCTATATGCTGCTATAATTCACAAATGGCACCTCATTACATTTCAAAAGGGCTAGTACTTTTCAAAAACATGCAAAAATGTGCAGAAAAAGAGAATTATGCAAAATTATGGTGAATAAGTGATAGCCACTAATCTTAATGGTTATATGTTGTATTAGTTAGCAGTGGCAGTATGCCTCTGAACATTAACTATTTGAGAATGTAATGCCCATGTGGGTTTATGTCTGTCTCATAGATTCCTGATTGCCCATTGTGGCAGCAAGTTGTGTTTAGAAGCTTCCCATCCTAAAGCCAGCTCAGATCTTATGAAAAAAAAAATGAATTTGAATCATAAATTATCATGCAAGTAGCCTTGCTCTCTTAATTGTTTTCTTGTGATGATTTTGTCAATTATATTTCAAGAAGGATATATGTGCATTTATATGGAAAGAGGACTGAAATGATTATGGACAAAGTGAATAAGAAGAAACTAAACATATATATTCATATACAGACATTTGCACATATCCATGCATAGATTATCATAGGTTTCTGCCTCAGTGCAGTAGAGTTAGTCAAGGTCATAGTTAAATTTTCTTGTAAGAATGTGCCTAACTATATAAATAAAGTTCTGAATTAACAGAAAAAAAAGTTTGTGGGATTTATTGGCTAAATCTTTTTTTCATACTTATTTTCCCCTTTCAGATATTGTGATTTTCTGTGAAGAATTTGAAATGGCAACAGGGAATAATAATGCTCATATACTAAATAATTGCGATCCAGCTTCATGGTCTGAAGTCGACCAGCCACTTTTAGACCAAATGACAGAACAGTCACGGGATACTTCCTGCTTGAATGCTGCAGAGTGGCCACTGCGGCGTTATGGCCGATTTATGCCTGGAGCTTTGGGCACTGCTTCAGGATCTTGGAAGGTAAACTGAATTCATTGTGTCTTCAGGGAAAAATTATATGTTACTGAATTAATGTAAGAACCAGAAGCAAATCTTTCTTTGAAAAAGGTTTCATTAGGGCTCAGAATTATATATTGTTCCTTAAAATATATAAATATTTGTGAGTACATTATAATGTGCAGTTTTCATGTTTTTCAACAACTCGTAGGTTTCTCACATCTTACAGTATATTAGATAGCACATCATCTAGATCAGGAGATGTAATGCTAGGACTTGCTATGTATTTGATCTGCCATCATTTAGAAATTCATTTTGTTTCAGCTCCTAAAGATTAAAATTTCATGAATAATATTTAAGTTTTGTTTGTGAGTTTCGTCTGAGACATACTTTGTGAAGGACTTCCATATTTGGTTGTTGTGTTTGCTAGATGGAAGAAAAAGAGACAATATCTGTTCTCTGGTAATCATCAGGATTTTTGCATCCCTAATCTGGCATCTCTGGTTTTGTTTGAAGTGCAAAAATGAAAGCTGAATTGAATTATTTCTTTGACTCAGCATGATATTTTCTATGTTCTTAAGCTTAGTTGTCTTTCCTCTGTGTTTGACTAAATATCTAGCATTGCAGAATACTAGCATCTATTTTTGTAAAAAAAAATTATATATATATATATATATCATAGTATCTCTTTTAGTCCAAACAAGATATCCAAGTTGCTTACAAAAAATAATGTATTAAAATAAAGAGGAAATTGCATAGAAAATAATTCTAGCTAAAAACAGAACAAAACAAATTTTCTATACTCTGATAAAACTAAGCATGTTAAATCAGTACATTCTTATTTCTTATTCCATTGCTTATAATGATGAATATAGTTATATTTATTTCTTGTAAATAGATATCCAACATAAACATATTTTGTATGCAATATTTTTTAAGAAAAAAAATATGTCTTTATTTTTTGGAAAACACTTCCTTTATATTTTTGTCATGTTAACATTCTCTTTCCTAAAAGATTTTGGAGTCAAACGAAGAATCTGGCTTTCTTGTTCTCAGTATAGTTATTTCAGGCCATTTCTTCATTTCCAGAGGAAAAGAAGTACTGGTAACTATTGACATATTAACTTTTATATATTTTTGTTTCTTAAACATATCCTCTCTCATTGGTATAATGCTCGGCTGATAAGTGAATTAAGTCAGCATAGTTCCCAGACACCGTTAGCACTTATATGAATAAAACTTATATGAATAGAATTGATATACAAACCCTAATTCAAGAACCAGTCAACAAAATGTTGCACAATTTTTCATCCAGTGATGAGGTAGAATTTATCTCAAAGCCCTGTCATAATTCTATAACAAAATTTCACAAGTAACATGGTGGCTGAGCAGTTAAGATGTTGGGCTTGTTGACTGTAAGGTTGGCAGTTTGAGACCTAAGTAGCCTGTGATGGAGTAAGATTCCGTTACTTGCCCCAGCTCCTGCCAATCTAGCAGTTCAAAAGCATGTACTCTAAATGCAAGGAGATAAATAGGTATCAGTTTGGTGGGAAGTTAACAGTTTCTGTGTGTCATCAGTGTATAATCATGCCAGCAACATAACAATTGAAACATCTTCAGCCAATGCTGGCTCTTCAGGTGTGAATCAGAGATGAGCACCATCCCCTAGAGCAGGGGTCTGCAACCTTAAACACTCAAAGAGCCATTTGTACCCGTTTCCCACAGAAAAGAAAACACCGGTAGCCTCAAAACCTAGGTGGGCATGGCCAACATCACTCCACCCGGTCACATGATCTTCCATGCCTTCCCAGGTTTTGTGGTGTTTTCTGTGGGAAATGGGTCCCTCCCTCTCTCTCTCTCTCTTTCTCTCCTTCCCTCTCATTTCTCTTTTTCTCTTTTTTCTTTACCCTGTCTCTCTCTCTCTTTCTTTCTCTTTCTTTTCCTTCTCTCTCTCATTTGTTTCTCTTTTTCCTCTCTCTCATTCTCTCCCAAAGGGTTGTGTGAGAAGGAAGAGGCGGATCGTCTTCAGAGAAGCCGCCACTGTGGCTCGTGCTCACTCCTCAGCTGCATGCCTGTCGCCCTTTCTGTCGTATCCTCCTCCGGAATCCCATTCCCACCCCACCAGCCCTCATGTTGGCGTCAGCCACAGCCATGTTGGACTAGTGTCTCGGGGTGGAGAGCAGGTTGCGTGACCATGTCAGCAGGGAGCCACAGGAGAAGGGTCAAAGAGCCATATGTGGCTCCTGAGCTGCGGGTTGCTGATACCCATCCTAGAGTCTAACACAACTGACAAGGGAAACCTTTAGGTTTAAAAGGAGAGAAAAATAAGAAGGAAAAACAAGAGAACCTTATCAAGGGTTATTAAGATTAACAATCTGTACCTGGAGTATTTTTGTTTTATCTAGTTAAGCATTACCATTAACACAAAATCATTATATTTGGATAGTGTTAGAAAGAAAGATGAAACTAGTAAACCAAATGATAAATGTAAACCATTTTAAAAATCTAGCCTGTAGGTATATTATTTCCTGTCACTAATTCCCTGAAACTAACCATGAAAATCTGACACTTTATAATCAAAAGCTATTGATGTACAAGGCAATTGCCAAAGTTTTATTATTCAAGCAGAGTCATTATGCATCCTGAGGATATGAACTTTCATTAAAATGTTTTGAAGCATATAGTTTTTAGTGTAAGGAATCATTTTCAACCCTTTCTGAAAAACTGTAAATAATTTTAAAAAATTAAGATTGTGGAACATAATTTTTGATTTATGATATAAAATATCATTTCACCAGGCTTTATAATTTATTTCTTTATTTTAGAGCTTATTACTAATTTTCCTAAATTTATTACTAAATTATATGTTAATAAGTCCAAGAATTGGAGCAGTATTATTTCACTTAAATTATCTCTGATTTTCAGAGCTTCTCCACCTTTATGTAAATTTTGCATTTATTTCAGGAAGGATTTTCATTAATTGGTGCTTCTCAGTGGTTAAAGGTAGTACGAAAAGCAGATTGCATGTTAGTTGGTTCAAAATTAAAGGTACGTTTATTCATACAGTATATCAATATTTTACTTAAAATATTTTTTCATTTATATTTTTCATTGAATTATTCTTCTAAATGTTAATCTGGTTATTCTTTTCCTGCTCATTCTATTGTTAGACTTGTTTTCATATACTAAAATTAGTCCATGCAGTATGTATGATGTAAGTAACTTAAGATTCTGAACAAGATTCTTGTATCATTGCATTGTATAGTAATAGCAAGGTTGCAGTACAGATTTGGAGGAGAATAAGGATGCCTGGAGGAAAGGATGATTTGAGCAAGCTTCTATAAAGCTTGATATCCATAATATGCAGAGTTAGTATCTTTGGATGTACTGGAGCTTTTATTTCTGTTCGTGTTAGTTTGCTATCTTAGAAGGTAAAACCTATATTTTCATTTGGGTAATGCTCACTTAAGAATTCTAATTGGGACCAACAACTCCACCAATAGGCAAAAGGGTCAATAAGTAGTAAATCTAATGATCATGACTGTGCTTTCCAGCTGGAAAGAAGCAAGACTATTTAAAACATATCTTTAGGTTTTGTTTGCCTTCTAACAGTTCTGCCACCATTTGAAATGCTTGAGTTTCTGCTTACTGCTTTGTACTCTACAGAAAGCAATGCATTTTTGCTTTTGATATGTAGAATAAACAGCTTACCTTTCCAATCTCTTTGTTCTAGGACAGATTGTAAAAGGGTCGGGCAAAAAAGAGATTACCTACAGAAATTGCTTGCCTTTTTTCTCCCCCCACCCCTCATCCTACTCCACAAGTAGAAAAATTGGAGAAGAGATTTCAAAAGAGTACTGTAACTGTTTGCATGGCATAGCTCCCAGCCCCAACTGTTGGTGCAGCCATATTGCTTTTGATGTTTTGATTGCTTTTGAAGACCAAACAGCTTACTCTCTTGCAATCTCTTCCTGTCTAATCATTCTCCCTCCAAGAAGGGAGGCGAAAAAGAAACACAGGTTAAGCACAGAACAATGTGAACTGACTATAAAGGCATGACTGGGGAATGTTGTGAACATCATAAATAGTTGTAAATTGGCCCTAGAGTTATTTTTTCAGCACCACCATAATGTCAAATGGTCACTAAATGAGTGGTGGGTAAGACTAGTGTTCAGGCTCTGAAATTTGAAGTTTTCAATTGCTTAATGTCTCCAAAAGACCATTGAGAAGTTTATTCTGAACACAACCTAAAAGAAGGTAACATTGTATTTAACAAATCAGAGCATACCAAAGTGAATTTTTTCTTTCCCAGTTGTAATGTAATATATATGGTAGACCTCACAATAGAGTTATCAGTCTACACTGCAATGAATGACCTTTAGATAGCAGCAAAAAAAATCCATGAAACACTGTTGTCTGGATTTTTGAAGTTCAAATCTAATAGCCTTTCCTCTCAAGCATTATAGGTTAGCGATTGACTCCTGGATGCTCATAAGTCTCTTGAAATTGAATTGAATTAATATGGTGAGAATATTTAACCTTGACATAATTCTTTCCCAATTATGAACTATTTAGTTGTCCTATATTAGGGATGTCAAACTCGTGGCCCGGATGCATCATGCACTGGCCAAGCCCACCCCCGGTTTAGCGAAGGAAAAAAGTCATACGTCATGTGACGACAACATGACACCGCAAGTTTGGCACTCCTGTCTAAAATTCTATTTTCCCTGTTGTTTTTAGTCATTTAAAAATTCTTCTATAAATAAATGAATCATATATTTTAATGGTTGTCAATAGCTTGATGCAGTGAATACAGTCAAAAGCTTTTATGTAATTAATTACTTTTAAAAATTCCCTTGCCTTTCTCTTAAATACTAGGTTTTTTTTTTATAGTGGGCACTACCTTTCCTGAATCCCATTTATACCCTTTGCAGTATTTGCATTTTTATTGTTCCATTTATTAAGTCTTCAAAATCCTGAGTATTAATGAGTATGTGAAATAATTTCAACTGTTTTGTAATTGAAATAATTAGCACTGTTAGCACTTAGCACTGTTCTTTGACTATATTGGAATATCTTTTCTTTTCAACGTCCTTGGCTTTTGCTATGTTTTTTATATCTACTTATAAAGCACAAGAAAATTTTTGATTACATCATCTTGTAAGATTTAAATGTATCTGACATACTGGTATGTTGTCAATTCCTGAAGCATTATCATTAGCAGTATTTTCAAGAGTCCATTTAACTTCACTTTTCAGACTGTCAGACAATAGTTCATTGATTCATTCTTTGGTTTTGTGATTCTTTTGGTAGTTCTTCCATATAATCATATTATTTCTTTTTTTGTATCTTCATTCTTCACTATATCTTTGTTTTCTTTACATTTTATCACTCCTTTTTTATATTTAAATTTTCTTTTATTTTCATAATGTTCTTATTGCATCATCTATCTGCTTGTCTTCCTATTTTATGATTCTCTTAATTTTATTGTGTCAATTATTTATTCTGTTGTTATTCTTGTCATTCTCCTGGGTGAGGGTTTACTTAAGCAAATTTTCCTCTATGTTTTTAGATAGTCTTCAGCAAAATGACTGTATTAGCAAACAGTCATTTTGCTTTCTGCACTTTGGGATATTTTTATTTGCTTCACTTTAAAGAGTATCATGAATTTAATGGCATCATGAATGCTATACCGAATTCTTCGGGTATCCTGCTTATCAAAAATAATCTATTAAAACTATTATTTATCTTTATCACATAATCTTCTAGAATATTTGTATTTTTGTGTTCTGGTTATTTTGTGTCATTTGTTTATAGATGTAATTTTACAAGGGCAGATTTCCCCATAATTTTAGATGCTATATTACTTTCATCTTTAACATTTCTGTCTTCTATTTTTAATTTCATGTCTTTTTTAATGTTGGGGGGAGTTATATGGGCCAGATTTTTCTAATATATCATATATAGTCACTATGAGATACACAGTGACATCTCATGAAGATGGAAATATTTGATTGCACAAAATGCTACCTTAGCTATAATAGTTAAAATGTAATAAAAGCAGTAGTGATGTAATGAGAAAAATGAAGGAATTGCCACAAGAAAACATTAAAAAGATAATATCTAAAAAATGAACTATTGGTTAGAAATTCAAATAGCTTTTTAGATCACACAGAAAATATTAGTTAAATAAAGCTGAAATGTGTAATGGGCATTAATTTAACAAATATTTCTGTAAGTACTAATATGCAGCAATAATGAAATTTAGTTTTTATTTTCTGTTTGTGGATTCAATTTAGAGCAAACATCGTATGTTTCGTATACAATTTATTGGAGACTCCAAAACCGAGGCAGAAGAGCATTGCCATAACTGCATGCAGAAACTAGCTGAGTATATTCCAAATCAAGTGACAGATGCATTAACGCAGGAACTACACCAAAGCCACTCTCTGCTTCTCACTGATGAAAGTCAACTGAAAGATACAGAACAAAATGTCCTATTACAAGATACTGTAAGCTGGTGAATGTACTGTATGTGGAAATATGTGGAAATATTCTAATCTTTAAATAGCTTATGGTAGCATTTTTTTTGCTTTGTATCTTTAATTTATTTTGAACCTTTTCTAGGTTGTAAACGTATCTCCAACACATGGAACAATGTCTGTAGCAGAGCTAGCCCAGGTATTCCTAATATTTATCTATTAGAAAAGAAAGGCTAATTTATTACTGTAGAAAAGTTTTCAGAAGCCAAAGGTTTCTTACTTTTAAGATATTTCAGATTTGTAACAGAAAACACTTAAAGATGGAACCAAAATTTGTAAATGACAATCTACACAGAAATGGCCCTTGTTATTTATAGAAGTTCTGTTTCAGCCATTTAATAATGGTTAATAGAACTGTGGGTAATGAGATATTTTAACTAAAAATTCATTTTGTGCAGGCCCCCGTAGCCTTCAGGTATTGAGATAGAACCTCTGCAGCAACACTCAGACAGCCTGGGGTGAAGATATTAAACTACGTATTATCTGCACACAATATACTCACCCCAAACCATTGGATGTCCTTACCCAGTGGCTTTATGTAGATGTTAAATAGAAGGGAAAAGAGTCCTGAGCACTAAGGCAACACGCAAAGGAGAAGCCACTGGTGAATATCTCCTTTCATCGACATCAAATGGAACTCATCAGGAAGGGAGGGAGGGAGGGAGCACCAGCTCAATACCATGCTGCCCACCCCCAACTCCCAGAGCCAGTTCAGAAAGACACTATGATCAATGCTATCAAAAGTCACTGACAGGTCAAGAACCGAGTAAGAATAGAAGAATCACCTCCATTCTGCTTTTGCTATGAGTGCAATTGATGCCATCCCAGTCCCTAGGCCCAAACCTTGACTAAAAGGGACCCAGATAATCTGGTTCTTCCAGGGTCCTCTGAATAAGCAACATACACTTTCTATAATTAGAAACTGGATGAATATTGTCCAGAATGGTCAATTAAATATCAAGATAAAGAATCTTTATTGGGATTAAACACATTAGAGATTCTTACTAATAAAAACAAGTAAATTTAGCTACAATTTATATCTTCTAGGGAGATAGCAAATCCATGTTGACTAAAAAAAAATCAGTAAAATATATTTTATTTTAAATTGTTAGGAATTTTAAAAGAAAATTGACTATTTTTTTCTCTTTGGCAGTGCGTGCTGATACCAGATAATCAACTTCCTCTTGCATATCAAAAATCCACATGGAGTGCTGAAGATTTAAGCAGCTTTATTCGTTTGTGCCTGTTGGATCAACACTTTCCAGCATTTGTGGAAGAAGTAGAGAAACAGCTAAAAAAAATTATAGATGGCTAGAAAGCAAAATTAAAATCAACCATAATATTACTGTCAGTTTCTATTTCTTACCTCTTTAATTTGCCTTAAGATTTGAATATGTGTTTATCCTATCCTTTATAAGCCAAAGGGATATATTATGCTGTTTTCCATTGTAATATGTACATTAGTGTCTAAGCTGCACCTAATTATTTTATATACAAATTAATATATTAACAATGAATATAATTCATTTGTTATATATGATTAGTCATTCTGTCTATGATACATGCACACATATTACAGACATATATATATATGTATATATGAATGTATATATCTCCAATAATGTGTAACAGCTCAACTCTTTATATTTTTGAAGTAATGAATTCAATTACTTCTACCATTATAATGGCTTTAAAGCACTTCATGAAATATGTTTGGAATTGTTCAGCATAAGATTTACATTAAAAATACTTTCTCTGAAAAAAGGTGCATTAGTTTTCCCATTTGTATTAGTTTGACGAATGTTTAAAACATTCATCAAAACATAATTTGAATGTTTAAAATGTGTTAAGTTAGAAACTGAAGTTCTTTTTTTTAATAAAAGTTAGTTTGAAACATGTTAAACTGTTGATCATATGAGGAATATATTAAAATTCAAAGTAATAAATCCAGTTTTGTCAGTTTCTCCTCTCTCTGAAAAATTCTAATTCCTCCATTGTCAATTGAACTTAATCAAACCTTATGCTTCTTTGTCATAAATTAGAACAATGTAACTCAATTCAGTTCAATGTCTTATTTAGAGTCATCACAGGAAAATAAACGAGTACAAAGGATAGAACAATGATAAATAGCAGGTAGGAAATGTTGCATAGGTTACAAAATCAGTTTACTTCCCATACAGTAAATGACAAATTAAATGCAGCCAGAAATTGCTGCTTTACCTTAGCCCTGTTTTGGTGTAACAAATGATGTAATCTTCCAAGTCATGAGGAATAGACTTTCCCACTTCTTAATCATTCTAGTAGCCTTTGGTCTTCATGGTTAGAATATGATTGTCTGCAGTGGTCAGCCAGCATTGCATGTGATCACTTCCATATGAGCTGCAACACATACAATAGAGCAAGGCTTTTCATTGCAGACATTTACATGGTAAACAAGCATACATTCATTTATAGAACAGTTGCTAACTGTTTATATTGGATAGAACCTGCAGTAAATGCTTTCTATCTATGATGTTGTCTCTGTCAATGCACAATAAATTTTTATCTGTGGGAACAATAAAGTTCCCCTGGTTGTCAACACAATGTGACAAATAATGGAGAAACAAATACTTAATTCCTCTTCCACTATTCGCATTGGACCTTCCCATCTCAAAATAATGAAAAATGCAATTTTTTTTGAATTTGTAACAGTTTAAAATTGCTACCAAATTAATGGGTCTTTGCAATATTCTTTTTTTTTAATTGAAAAGTTTTTATTTTATAAACAAGCATACATACAATATATAATCAATCAATCAGTGTATCATTTGAATACATCTTTTTTCCTTTTACTCCTCCAATATTTATCATCTCTTGATATTATCATTTCATTTGTTGTAACATTTCCCCCACATTTACTTTTATATTTGTACCTTTATCTATTCAACAACCCCGGATCCAGAGCTAAGAAGGGCTTTCAGGGAGCTCTCACCCTACAAACCCCAGGCTTAAAAAGAAAAAAACCTGGGGGTCTAGGGGAGCTCTACCCAGACCCTTCTGCTCTTCTCTTCCCCTTTTTCCCAGGGGGAGTTTTTTTAGCCGCTAGACAGCTGATTTTCGCTGTTCTAGCGGCTATACAGATCTCCTGTATAGAGAGATCCTACAGGAGCGTCTGTTTGGCGTTCGCAGAGCCACCGGAAGTGATCTTTGCAATATTCTATTGTATAGGCTTACAACCAAAATTGTAACATAGAGCAAGATAAAACAATCCTACAAATGTACAGTTAATTGAAATTAATTTTATAAATTAATAATCTTTTTATAAAATAAGAAAATGTTTCATATACTAGAGCTTACTACCTGAGAGCTGCAGATTGTATTTTGTCTCCTCACTGGTAATTGAGCCAAGTCCCTCATAAAACAGAGGCTTCCGGAACAGAAAGCTGAATTTTAGACCCTTTATTGTAGAAGTGCAGGCAATTAATATTTCTCTAAGATGACTAGAAAGACTCACGGGCCAAGCTACAAAGTTATTCTATGAAACACACACCTATAATTGTGATTTGCTCCATTCTTAGTAAGATCATCTTTTTACACAAGTTTTAGTTTGCTTCCTTTACATTTCCTAAAAGCACAATATACAAGTATACATTTTCAGGGCATATTTTCAGTCCCTTTAAGGGCAACGTAAGGCTGAATTACGTCTAATAAAAACCTGTCCAGACTGAAATGGTTTGGCAATATTTTGAAAAGGTTACACACCAGACTGCAGATATCATAGTATCTCATTGGATAATTTTTCTGCTGTTCACACCGATTCCTGTCATTTCAACTGTTTGTTCTTCACATGGATGGAAAAGTATGAGTGGCAAGAACTATTTACTCAATTGACTATTTTACACCTCATGTCACCCCAGCCAGCAGTTATGGAGAATAAAACTCGTATTGAAATTTTACAAGACTGTGTTGTGCTGTTTTTAAGGGAAAAAAATGAATTGGTAGTTCAGGTTAGTTCACTGATTCATTGCTGAAATGAGCTGATTAAAAGGCTGCCTTTCAGCCCTTCACTCAAGTGATTGAAGGTTCAACATCATGACACGAACAAAATATAGTCAAATGTACCAGACAACCCAAATTGCCATACTTGAGGAACATAGGCATAAAAATACTTCTTTGAAAGCAGAACAAAAGCATATTCCCAGGAAACACATTAATGGTAGCTGGGTAAAGTTGAGAACAGACAAATTTCATATCTCCCTGCCCTCAAAAAATAGTTGCTGACCTATTTTGGAGATGGGGCCCTCAGTCTGAACAAAGTGGGAATTTAACTTGATATTTATCAGGTTGCTCAAATAATTGAGAGTCATATAACAGAAACATTCCTCTATTTCCCACCTTAATAAACATTGATTTAAATTATCAAACATATTCTTTAGTTATTTGATCAGTGATTTGTTACAATCTTTTTTCTGAAAAAGGACATTGTGCTCTTTATAAGAAACAGAAAATATTGTAAGTAGAATATATTCTGGTAAGGAATTTCTGTAAATAGAATTGAACTCCTTTCAAATTTGGAAAGAGCTGCCTGCAGTATTATGCTTTGTTCTGCCAATTTGTGGTACGTATATTGTATCTCTGGAAGCAAACTATATAATATTTTGAATATCTCCTGGACAAATGCATTAATAACTATTTGTTTTATGATGTAAACAATTATCTTTATGAAAATTAAAGTCCTTATTTGTATCTTAATTCCAGTTTTCTGATCAAAAATATGTTAGTATTATATAATGATTATGTTAATTTTTAAGGTTGTAGTTAAATATAGTATTTATGAGAAGCATTATTGCTAAAGGTTCATTGTCAATTTAAGGTACTGTTGCAAATTTAATTACTATAACCTCACTAGCCACTATCTTTATATCAGCATTTTCCAACCATTAAATTTCTCCATCTTTTTTTAATCGGTAGCTCAACTTTTATCAGTTGCCCAATTTTAGGAAACAATCTATGGGCAGTATCTATTCTACTTATAAATAATAAATTAATGTTGAAAAAAGCAAATATGAAAGTGAGAACTTGGTATTTTAGAAGAAACAAAAGTTGGATGTAGTGGGAATAGGGTACTTAAGAACTGTGTGCAGTATAATGAAGATATATAATACAATTAAAAATGAATGGATTCTGAATAAACGTGAACATAAAAGTGAGTGACCAATTAAAAGAAATGTTTTGAGATAGTTTGTTCATATAGAAATGTTGAATAAGAATCAAAATAAAAAACAAGTATATCAAAGACTAAGACAATTACTATATAGAATTGATTAGCTCTTCAAAATTAGAAGTAAAAAGTCTAAAGAATAAAAGGCAATAGATGAATCCTTTCATGAATGTGGAAAGCCAAAATACTTTGCAAGAAAACATGGAAAAGTATAATGAATTGTGATGGTAAACTATTTTAACTATGCTTCCTTTTCTTTCTGTTGTATCATGTCTTTTAAATCTAAAATATTTATCGTTCTTTTTCTATTTCCATAACATTGCTTTCTCCAAAAACAAGTAACATGTTGGGTACATACTTAGGGTAGCTATTGATGATGGAAACAAAGAGGATAAGGAGTTATAATTGCAATATTACCCCGTATGGTACGTTGATTAATCTAGAGTAAATGAGTTCTATAGATTCAGTTTGGTTTGGAATTAAGAAACCAAGAAACTGAAGTCTAATACCATTTTAGGCACAAATCAGCTGTGCCAGTCATACTCAATCAACTTTAGGAAGAAGGCAATGCATATTACTTCCAAAATTCTTGCCAGGAAAAATGCTAGGACTGGTCCCGATTGTCACCAGGAGTCAATGCTGGCTCAAAGGAACTAACTAAATAAAGGAGATATATACTGACACGGCAGTTTAGAATTGCAGGTAACATCTTCATATACACATACTAAAAAAATATGGAAATATATTATACTGTACTTCTGCACAAAATGAGTAATTATTTAAAAGTAAATGAATAATTTTATGTTGATTACATATTTTTAAAGAAAATGAACAAAGGCATGAAATGTATTCTATCATGATAAACAATGTTATAAGGTAACACATTTATATTTGACAAATATTATTATTGTAGAATACAGTAAGAGGTTTATTCTTTACCATGTTTCTAAATGTGTTGAAAAGTTAAATTTTCAAATATTTTCTTTTCCCTTCAATTTGCATATAGAGAGATTAATGGAAGTTTCCCATTCAAGGATCTTGGACATATTTAAGCCAGTAGAAATATATTAATATAAACAAAGAGATTCAACCAATTACTGAGGAAATATATAGGCTAGGTCTTGATCAAAGATTGGATTTGAGCATATTTTAGAGCTATTTAAGATTCTAAAGCCTAGAATTTGATTGCAATATGTACTGCACTTTATGGCATTTATTTGGGTAATATTTCTTACACAATAGGCTTCAATGAATTACCACTTGTTTTATTGCACCGATGCAACTAGCCCAATGATAAATTACAAGTGACTTGTGATTTCTACAAAAAGCAAGATTTTACTCTTTAAAACATTGTTGATGAGTATGGTGTATTTGTTGGCCTGATATACATAAATTCAAGGAGAAACTCACACCAGGTTGACTCTCCATTCAAATCTTTTTATTATATACGACAGACACATTAATTGTGTGAATCACTATATAATACAATGCAGCAGATTCAACATAATTTGTGAATTATAAACACAACTGCAAATTCACTCTCTATATACGGACACGCTGACTAAAATCTGTGATCCACCTGAATAATTATAACAGTCTGAACAAAAGAAACTTTAAAATTACAATGAAGTGTTTCATGTATTTTGCATTCCCCCCCCCAAGTAATGAATATTTGCCTCCTGCACATTGTCCTTAGGATTTGTTAAGTCCAGATCAATGATTGGCCATGACATGTCAGCTGACTTGAATGTTCATCAAATTG